TACGTAGAAGCATGAATTTTTGCTTTTGCATTTATGTTAAAGCATGAATTTGTTTTTTGCTTTATTCGGAAGTTAAATGTGGTTTTTAAGAGACGTGTGCGTGTGTGCTGAGCTGTCAAGAGGAGGGTCCTGCCAGGTTGTCCTCTTATTCCAAGCTGGAGACCCATTTCCCAGAACCTTTGCCTCTGTGGTTGGGTCACACAGAAGTGAGGCAGTGGCCATTATTCTTTGGAAGGGGCCGAGATGGATGTGGTAGCATATGGAGCATCTGCGTCCGGCAGATCCCAGCCTGCCCCTCAATTGCACAATTGAGCCGGTCCCTCAATTGGATCCACAGAGGACACCATCTGGCTGTGGACCCATCAAGTGTCCCAAACGCGTCTCTCCCAACATTGCCAACACTTGCCTTCTAAGAACCCTGTTTATGGATCAGGCCAGCCGTTGCCTCCCCAGAGAGAGACTGTGGAGCTGAAGCCAGCCTCCCTCCATCCCCCATCTCATCTCCTTCACGTCACTCACCATCAGCAAAGTTACTATGTGTTTCACTGGTTTGTCCCTGCCTAGTAACATGTAAACTCCACGAAAGGGGGCCCCTTTCTGTCTTGCTCACTGCTGTGTCCCATAAGTCCCAGCTCGTCAGGACACTAGAATATTAGGTAATGTCCACTGGCTGGATGAATGTGCCTAGGATGGGGTGCCATGCAGTGAAAAGACGGAAAGCATTAGATGCATAGCAAGACAGACACATATAAAAATTATGGAGGCCTTGGAGAAACAGAATGATACATAAAAGAGCACTCATTGGCCGGGCACAGTGGCTCACACCTAGAATCCCAGCACGTTTGGGGGAGGCTAAGGCGGGAGGATCACTTGAACCCAGGAGTTCGATGCAGCCTGGGCCACATGGTGAGACCCGAGTCTATTTAAAAAATACAAAAAATTAGCCCGGCATGGTGACTGCCTGATCGTAGTCCCAGCGTGCCAAGAAGCTGAAGGTGGAAGGATCGGTTGAGCCCAGGAGGCAAGGCGGCTGTGAGCTGAGATTGGCAGCCACTGCACTCTAGCCTGCGAGACCACGGTGAGACCCTGTGGCGTCAAAAAGGGGTGGGGCACTATATTTTAATGAATATGCCAGATAACAGAAATATGGAAAGGTGGACTGCAGGAGGTAGGAGAGTGAGCTGATGGGGTGGGGGAAGTTTGAGAGTTGGGTGTTGTTTAGGGCTGCATAAACAGCAGGAGTGCAACCAGCTTGCTTCTTACTTGGAAGTTACGGGAGGAGGGAGGGAAAGGAGGGATGAAGGCAACTTCGGGTCAATCTTCCATTGGTGAGGTGGGGTCCACGCCCCACAACCACAAACTGTGGGTGGCCATGGCGGCATATGGCAAACCTGGCAGGGGATTCCAAGAGGCGTTCACCTGTGTGCGGACCGGCAGGCTGCCCCGGGAGCTGGGCGTGCAGGGGCCCTGGCCAACCACCCAAGGTGGAGCCCAGCCATTCCATGCCGAGGGTGCACCAGCTCAGGGCAGAAGCTTCTGGATGGCTCCAGCCTGTCCGAAGAGCCGGCCCCACCACTCACGTCTTCCCCGCGGGAGGCCAGCACCAGAAGAAGCAGAGAGGAGCTGTTCCGAGTGCCCGGAGTCCTGACCCACAGGAGGGACACCAGTCCCGGCGTGGGACGCCAGTCATGTCCAAACAGGTCGCTCCGCCGAACAGGCGCGTGCTGTTGGACAGCTACTGAGGGGGGTGGTTTGCACACCAGAGAGACGCTGACAGAAGGAGAGAGAGGGCAAGCTTGGCAGCTAGACAAAGGGAAGGTACTTGGGGGCAAAGGGATGGCGGGGGGTGGGCAGACCAGGCGGAGAAGGCACAAAGGGGACAGGGTCCGCGGAGAGGAGTGGCACGGCACCCGCCCAGGGCCGCGCTAGATGGGGCGAGGGCCACCAGCGGGGCCGCTCCTGCCCGCCCAGACAGGCGAGATCCCGCAGCGACTGCCACCCTGGGCTGGAAGTCGGTGCTTGCCCACCCCCTCCCGCCTCTCTCGCCCGCCCCCATCCCCACCCTCATTCCCGCCGCTCCCAGCTCCCCGGGTCCCTCCCTTCCCTCCTCGTCGTCGGCTCCAGTCCTTCGGGTCACTGTCTCAGGAGGCTGCCCCGGCTCCTAGTCGGGCTATGCCCATCCCCCGCCGACCCCCCACGGTCCCCGAGCCGCGCTCCGTGGCCCAGGTGGACGTGCGCCCGCGCCCCCCCCGCCCCCGCATCCCTGCCCGCCCCGCACCCCGCGGCCCCCTGCCCCGCCGCGCCCCCTGCCCCGCATCCCTGAGCACCCGCCCCGCATCCCTGCCCGCCCCACACCCGCGCCAGGCACCCCGCCCCGCACCCCGCGCCCCGCTCCCCGCGCCCCTACCCCGCCCCGCTCGCCGCCATTGGCTCCCCGCGGCCTGGCTCGGCCCGATTGGTTCCGCGCGCGGCCGGGGCCTGATCCGCGGTGGCAGCTGCCGCGGCGTGGATGCCTGCTCGGTCCCGCCGCCGCCCCAGGAGCGCGGAGCCGGGAGCGGCCGGGCGGGGGGCACCGCGAGGAGCCGCCCCCGCCGCCCACCCCCGGCCGCGGCCGAGGGCGGCCTGGGGGGTCGCGGCCGCACCCGGTGGCCGCACGCGGCGGACAAAGGACCATGCGGGGCCGCGGGCGCTGAGCGCGGCGGGGCGGGCCGGGGATGCGGCGCGGGGCGGGCGGGGGCCGGGGGCTGCAGCGGCGCCGCTGAGCGCGGCCTGGGGCGGGCGCGGCGGCCGCGATGCCGCGGCTCCCGGTGAAGAAGATCCGCAAACAGATGAAGCTGCTGCTGCTTGCTGCTACTGCTGAGCTGCGCCGCGTGGCTCACCTACGTGCACCTGGGCCTGGTGGCGCCAGGGCCGAGCGCTGCGCCAGCGCCTGGGCTACGGGCGAGGTACGGCGCGAGGGGCGCGGGCGGCGGGGGCCCGGGGCGCGGGCCGAGCCTCCCACCGCACGGGGGTCTCTGCTGGGCCCGACCCGCCCGGAGACCCCGCCCGCTGTTCCCGCCTGCGATTTGTGAGGAGGGGGCGCGGTTCGGCTCGGGCCCGGACGCTGGATGACGTCGGCAGTGACGCGGCGGCGACCCTCTCTGGGAGGGACCCTGGCCTGGATCTGGTAGTGAGCGGCTGACGGTGGGCTCCCGGGGGATTCTCTGCCCCAGACCCTGCTGAGCTTCCGAGAGGCCTTCTCAGGCCTCGCCTCCATCCCCTGCCCGCTTAGCAGGGCCTCAGTTTCCCCGTGTGCTGGGGACCCGGGCCGGCTTGGCGAAGTGGGCGGGTGCAGCTGGGGACGCTTCCCGGCGGGGGCGCCCTCGGTGAACTGTGGCCAGTGTTGTGGGGGTCCGTGCGTGGGGATGGGGCCCAGCTTGCAAAGCCTGGCGTAAACTCTCTCCGACCCCAACCCACAACAAAGCAGATCGGTCACGGGTGAGCCAGCCGGGGTAGGGCCCCCTGGAGATGGTGTCTTTTGACACACACCTTTTGTGCAAAGAGCATTCCAGACAGGAGGGTCAGATGAAAGCCTGGGGGGTGGGGGGAGAAGGAGGGACAAAATGCCCCCTCCTGAGCGAGGAGGGAGGTTAGTGCCATGCCCAGACCAGGAGAGACCCAGCTGGCTGCCTCTGAGCCTTCTCCAGGGAGCCGGGTGTCTGAGGGGGCCAGACAATGATACTGGCGGGGGGACACCTGGGCCCACTCCACCTGCCAAAGCTCCTCTGTCTTCTCTTCGTGGGCTGGGGGGCCGGGGACCCCACACAGGCCAACGGTCTGGGGCTTTGTCCCAACCCACATACCTCGCAGCTGCCACCCCCTCAAGAGACCCCAGATACTGCTGAATCCCTAAAAGAAGCTCCACCCCAGCTCTTAGCAGACAGGGCAGGATCCACAGCTGGCCCCAATGACACAGACACAGAACCAGCCCCTCCGCAGGAGCCTCTGTAGTTTTCGGAGCGCGGAGATCTCAAGCCCAACCTGGAGGGGGCGGATGCATACGAATCCCCCTTCCAAGGACCCCTTGAGGCTAAGCGAGCTCGCCCCAGGGCACCTGTACTACTTGCTACCTTTGAGGCCAGGGCAGGACAAGAGGAACTCAACAGCTTCCCAGGGAGATGGGAGTGAGCAGACTGTTCTGTCGGGGGAGCTGGGGCCAAAGTCCGGGGAGCCCCCAGGGGACCCTTCCCAGGTCTGGCCTGTGGACATCTCTACTGCCTCCCCACAAGCCTGGGCAGGCCAGCTCTGCGTCCCAGCCCTCTCCACTTCCTGGACCTCCCTAAGCTGAGACCTAGACATCCTCACTGCGGCCCCAGGGGGTTCCACGCCCTGGGACCTGAGCATCTGAAGGGATGCTTCACTTCACCCCAGTTCTGCCCCTCCTGGTCCTCCTACCCAGGGACACTCAATCCAGGGCCACCCTCTGCCCCAGGGCCACGCCTGGGCTTCCGCATCCATGCCTGTCCCTCAGTCCAGACTTTGAGAGCTCAAATCCTTCAGGAGAGGCAGTGCCGGCTTTCCTGACTACAGTCCCTGGCACTAACCCTGAGTTCTCATTTCTGGTAAGGGAGGCAGACATGGAACATACCAGCACAGAGAAAGTGCTGAGGGCACAGGGCAGTCCTGGGGTCTTCCTGGAGGCAGAGCCCACTTAACAAGAATGGCCAGATGGGGGTGCATGTGGGTGCCTAACACACCAGCTGGCGCACCCAGCTTTCCTCCCTCACACCTGCTGGAGGTTGGGAACAGCCTGCTGGAAGGCTCAGCCCGGGCCTGCCCCACCAGAGGTGGGTGTGGAAGAAGTTGCCTCGCTGTGGGGTGGGGCATCTGGTGGTAGAGGACGCAGATGAGAAGGAGAGGTTTGGCTTTAGTGAGAGACACACGCCTCCTTGCCCTGCTCTGGCCATGTGGGTCCCCAGCCTGGCTGACCCCAGCAGCAAGGGCAGAGTGGCCTTGGAGAGAGCCTGGGCCCGAGACAGGCCCTCACGTGCCACTGCAGATGGTGAGAAGCTGACCAGTGTGACGACGGCCGGGTGTCCATGCTGCGCCATCCACACAGAGGGCTGAGGACTCCAGTGAGAGCCGTGAAGAGGAGCAGGCGGTGAGCAAGGCCTTGGGGAGGAACGCGTGTGCACGAGACGAGACCCCAAAGCCCCGAAGCCACTTGAGCATTGGTGTTTGAGAACTGTCCCTTCTGGGGACACAGCAGGGGGGCATGAGACACAGGACATGTGGGTGGGGAGCACGGCATGGCTTGTCAGTGTGAGCTGCAGCACCAGGCATCCTGTCTGGAGCTCTGTGTCTGGGGGCTGCACAGGTGCATGAATGCACCAGCCGGTCAGTATGTGGGTGGCCGGGCATCTGCTTGGGCGAGAGTGACCAGGGGGTCTGAGTGTACGTGCCAGGGCCATGGGTCAGGGTTTGCGCGGCTGTGGGCTCGCAGGCATTTAGCCTGTGTGGCTCCATGTTGGAATGGGGGTCTTTGTGAAGATCTGTCTTGCTGTTTGTGACCTCCTCCTGCCCTTCCAGCCCTGACCCGCTGCCTTTTCTCTCCTGCAGCCCGAAGGTCAGGATCTAGATATGCTGTTTCCTGCAGGGGCTGGGAAGCTGCCAACTGACTTCACCCATCAGACACCCCCATGGCGGGAGGAGGTGAGCTGGCTCAGCCTGTAAGGGGCTGGGAGGCAGGGCGGGGCTGGGGGGCGGCGGGCCGTGCAGAAGGTAAGGCCCCCCGATCCCCAGTACAAGGGGCAGGTGAACCTGCACTGTTTGAGGACTGGTGTGGGGGCGCCGTGGGCCACCTGAGGAGGAACCTGCACTTCCCGCTGTTCCCTCATGTGAGTGCCGGGGTTGGGGGGTGCAGGGCGGGCAGGGCACGCAGGGGGCTCCGACAGCAACAGTCACTGCCCCTCAGACTCGCACCACCGTGAAGAAGTTGGCCGTGTCCCCCAAGTGGAAGAACTATGGACTCCGTATTTTTGGTTTCATCCACCCAGCGAGGGATGGTACGGGGGTGAGGGTGCCCTGGGGGAGGGGTGTCGTGAGCTGCACCCGCCCTGAGCCTAGTCTTGTGGACTAGGAGACGTCCAGTTTTCTGTGGCCTCAGACGACAACTCGGAGTTCTGGCTGAGTCCGGATGAAAGCCCCGCTGCTGCTCAGCTTGTGGCCTTTGTGGCAAGGTACCCCCACCCCACCCCTGGTGTCTTCCCAGGCCTCCTGCAGCTCAGTCACCTGTCCCCACCAGCCTCTTGGGAATGAGGACCCGATGGGTTTGGTGTCCCAGGGAGACAGTGAACCCCCCCCGCCGCCCCTCCCTATCACCCCCCAGACTGGTTCCGAGTGGACAGCGCCTGGAGAATTCACCAAGTTCAGCTCCCAGGTGTCCAAGCCCAGGCGGTGAGTGACTGTGGGGTGCATGTGCATGCACTTGTGTATTCGTGGGAGTGGGCTACGTGGTGTTTCCTTACCCGGTGCACGATTGCACACACTCTGCACAGCACCCGCCCAGCCCAGCGCCTCCTCCTGAGGGCCAGCCCTGAGGGGTGTTGGCACCACCTGCCCCCTTCCCTGGCTCCACTATGCATGGCGGGGCCCAACCCTTGCTCCTCGTGTCCTCAGGCTCATGGCCTCCCGGAGGTACTACTTTGAGTTGCTGCACAAGCAGGATGACCGCGGCTCGGACCATGTGGAAGTGGGCGTGAGTGCCCCCCGCCCCCGGGAGTTTCTGGAGACTCCACTTCCGCTGCCTCCCTTCAGGACAACTGCAGTGGAGTCCCCGTCCCCAAGCTGACAAGCAGTGGTCAGGGCCATGGGCCTGAGGTCAGGAGGGTCTGCTCTGCCCTCTTGGGGGGCTCGGTGAGGCCTCACTAGGAGTCACCTTTGAGTAGAGTCTTGAGAGAATGGAGACATTCAGTAGGGAGATGTGGGGGGCAGATAATTTGGGGTGGGACGTATGGTGGGTGAATTCTAGACCACGAGAGCAGCGAAGGAACAGACTCAGCAGAGGAAGCGGGTCTTTGGGACTGGGAAGGCTCTGGTGGCCAGATCAGGCGGAGCCTGAGCACCACTCTGCACAGATAGGGCTTTGTCCTGAGAATGAGGCCATGGATTTGCATTCCAGGAAAAAACCCCTGGCCAGAGTGGAGAGAGCCTGGGGGAAGGGTTTTTACTGTGGCCTTTGGTCCTCGAACCCAGGGAGGTGGCTGTGGGGATGGATGGGGGAAGCGGAAAGGGGTTACACAGCAGGCAGAGGGCCTGGAGCCTGGTGGGTGTTGCGGGCTGCTCCGTGGTGCCTGTGTCTGGTGTGTGGAGGGCGCGTTTCACCCCCAGCTCAGCTGGGCAGAGGGCCCAGGCTGGACCAGGGGTTTGAGGTGGTCTGTGGAGGCCCCAGGATGAGGTGGGAACAGAAGGACCCTGGAGCCCCAGCTTGGCGTGGGGCAGAGTGGAAGGGAATCCAGCCCGGCCCTTAGGGGCCAGCAGTGACTTCACTGGGAATGGGCAGGGTTGGAAGTCATAACCTGAGGCGGGCAGGGGGGCGGACCTCAGGGAGGGAGGGAGGGGGGAGGGGGTCTCAGGGAGGGAGGGAGGGAGGGAGGAGGGGAGGGGTCTCAGGGAGGGAGGGAGGGATGAAAGGAGGGGGCCTCAGGTAGGAAAGGTGAGGAAGGGAGTATGGGAGGTCTGGCCTGCTCCCAGGGCCCCTCAGCTTTCTGGGCTCCTTCCCCAGCTTCCCTGCTGCCCCTTGTTGGAACCCCCGGACCCCTCTACCATCTCCCCTCCTGCATCCTTTAAGGGATTGGTCCTACTAGTCCCCCGGCCCTGAGCCGGGTAGACCCTTTCTTCCCTGGACCCAGCCACGGCCCTGCCCCTGACGCCCCCCTCTCTGCCCCGCAGTGGCGAGCTTCCTGCCCGGCCTGAAGTTCGAGGTCATCAGCTCTGCTCACATCTCCCTGTACACAGGTGGCCGGGCGCGCTGGGGATGTGGGGCTCCTTGGGACGGGCTCTGGGTGGGAGCGGGAGGAATGGAGGAGTCTGAGCACACCCTGAACCCCTCTTCCCCAGATGAGTCAGCCCTAAGATGGACCACGTGGCCCACGTCCCCAGTCCCAGCCAGCCAGTGGGGGGCGTCTGCCCGCAGGAGGACACCAGCGCAGACATGCTGCGGCAGATCCCAGGGACACTTTTTCCTCAGTGAGAGGGGGCCCGCGCGGGGGGCGAGGCGGGGTGCCTGCCCCAGCCGCCCCCGTACCGCACCTCTGCAGCTCCGCGCATGGAATCTTCGACCTGGGAGAACGTGCTGGAGCCCTGTGCCTACGCCCCCACCTACGTGGTCAGGACTTCCCCATCGCCAGATACCAGGGCTGCAATTTGTGAGTGCGGGTGGAGACCTGGTCTCCCGTCCGGGACTCCCTCCGCGGAGCCTTCTCCAGCCCCTTGGGAGGCCGCCCCGGGAGGTCCCCGCCCTGAGCCCTGAGCCCGCCTACTCCCCGCCCCCCAGGTTACCTGTCCTTCGTTTATCCCAACGACTACACCCGCCTCACCCACATGGAGACCGACAACAAGTGCTTCTACCGCGAGTCTCCGCTGTACCTGGAGAGGTGGGCTCGCAGCCCGGCTGGAAAATGCGGGCGGGGCGGGCAGGGCGGGACTCGGCTCTGATGCTTCCGCTCCGCCCCAGGTTTGGGTTTTATAAGTACATGAAGATGGACAAGGAGGAGGGGACGAGATGAAGAAGAGGAGGTGCAGCGCCGAGCCTTCCTCTTCCTCAACCCGGACGGTGAGTGTCCGCAGCGCCCCCAGCCCTTACCCACCTGCGCAGGGAGCTTCTGACCCGCGTTTCCCGCAGACTTCCTGGACGACGAGGACGAGGGGGAGCTGCTCGACAGCCTGGAGCCCACGGAGGCGGCCCCGTCCAGGAGCGGCCCCCGTCCTCCGCCCCAGCGGTCCACGCGGAGCCCGGAGCCACCCTGCTCCGCCAACCCTCCCCGCCCCCGGGACGAGGGACCCCCAGGCACTCCGGGCCCTGAGCTGGCCTCCCGGCCGCCCGCCCTTGCCGCTCTTCTTGGGCGAGCTCCGCCCCCGCCCTGCAGCGGAGCAGCAGCCCCCGAAGGTGTACGTGACCAGGGTGCGGCCAGGACAGCGGGCATCCCCCCGGGCCCAGCGCCGGCGCGCCCTGGCCGCCCTTTCCCGGCGTCTTCCTGCACCCCAGGCCTCTGCCCAGAGTGCAGCTGCGGGCGCCCACGCCCACCCGGCCCCACAGCCGCAGGACCGGCGGCCCCCAGGCCACACAGCCGAGGCCCCAGCCAGGGCGCAGGCCACCCAAGGGGGCCAGGAGGCCAGGCGCGCACGCTGGGACCTGCGGTGCCCACAGTGGACTCAAACTTGTCTTCCGAAGCGCGGCCCGTGACTCCTTCCTGAGCTTGTCCCAGGTGTCCGGCCACAGCTGCCCGGGGAGGCGAAGAGGAGGAGGAAGGGGAGGACGATGGGGCCCGGGCGACGAGGCTGCGTCGGAGGACAGCGAGGAGGCCGCGGGCCCGGCGCTCGGACGCTGGCGTGAGGACGCCATCGACTGGCAGCGCACGTTCAGCGTGGGCGCCGTGGACTTCGAGCTGCTGCGCTCGGACTGGAACGACCTGCGGTGCAACGTTTCGGGGAACCTTCAGCTACCGGAGGCGGAGGCTGTGGAGTGGCGGCTCAGTACATGGAGCGGCTCACGCGCGCCACGGCGGGTATAGGCCGGCTCAACGCGCGCCAGGGCGGTTGTGGGGCCGGGACAGCCGGGGAGAGGAGGTCCTGGCCTTGGTGGGGCCCTCAGACCTTCCCAGGGCTCAATGGTGTACCGGCCTGGCTGAGGCACCGCCCCCACCCAGCGAAGCCCCAGCTTCTCCCCTTCCTTCCTGTGTCCTGACTGCCCAGGGCACTTGTCCAGCCTCAGGGACCTCCCTGGAGCCCACCCAGGGCTGGCGCCTCATCCTTGCACCTGCGAACCCACTTCTGTCATCCTGGACCTGGGCCCAGGGATGAGTCCAGGCTACATAGGTCAGCGTCAGTCCCAACCAGTTGCTGGGCAGACAGCCCCATTCAGGGGGCCAGGCTGAGACACTTAGGGCAAAGCTCAGGACCCCTGGACCCCTCCTCCTCTCCCTCGCAGTGCCCCTGGGTGTTCCCAGGCGCTCAGGGCCTGACTACAGAGGAGGGTGCAGGCTTCTGCCCATTGGCCTCTGGTCTCCCCAGGCCCCAGGAATCTAGTGCTGTCTGCCCTCCCTGCAGGCTGGTGGGCGCGAGTGGGGAGTCTAATTTGGCCTCCGGGAGGCCTGTGGAGTCCTAAGAAGAGGCAGCATCTGTTGTGCCCAGCCTTGAAAGCGAGTTAGGAGCTGCGCAGTGATGACAGGCAGAGGCAGGGTCAGAGGATGGAGGCAGAGCTGGGACTGTTCTTCCTGTGCGTGATGGAAGGTTGTGAGCAGGGCAGGAATTCCACCGGTTTGGGTACAGACAGGTGTGCCGCTGCCTGGAGGGAAGGGATGGTGGTGGTGGTGACTGACAGCCTGGAGCCCTGGGGGGTGGGGTGCTGGATTCAAGGTGGCTCAGAGGGCACGCCTGCCCCTGGCTCTAAGCTTCCTGAGAGCAGCTCGTCATGCCATGGAGGCCTCATGGGATGGTCATTGTTGTGGTCCACCTTTGCCCACTTGGGTGTGGCTCAAGGAGCAACAGTGTAGAAAGACCAAGAGCATTTGGGGCAGGAGGTCCCTGGCACTCAGGGCTTTGGGGTGGGGAAGGACAGGATTGGAGGGAGGGCCTCGGACCCCTCGGCACCCAGGTGGGCGTCCCCCGGTGAAGGCACAGACTGCCAAGGGAGGATGTGAGGCCGACTGAAGAGAAAGCGTCGTCTAGGGCAGGATCCTATTTTCTCCAGATGAGGAGAGCAAGTGGAGGGAAACTGAGGTTCTCGGCTGGGCAGAATGAGGAGGAAGGGGCGGGAACAGGCTCCCAGCATTGAAGCCTCCTCACTCGGGGATCAGGACAGGCCCAGAGCTGCTGTCTGGGGAAAGGGGTTCTGTGAAGGCACGGGGGGGGGGGGCTTCTCAGAAGAGGTGACCCAGGGCCTGAGAGAGGAGTGGCTGGGAGGGCTGGGGGCAAATATCCAGGCAGGGGACTCCTCAGGACAAAGGAGAGGAGACAGTGGCTGTGCCTGAGGAGGAGTCTGCTACCCCAGTAGGAGGGGAAGATTGAAGGCCACAATTCGAAACTGCTTAAGGTCCTAGAATGCCATAGAAGCCATTTGAACCTTGTCCCATAGGCGGTGGCCAACTCCTGAAGGTTTCTGAGCAAGGGGGTAACAGGACAGTTGGACATGTCATAAATGTCACCTGGGACGTGCGTGTGGCCGGGAGGCCCGCGGAGGGGGTGATGATGGGCCTGGGCTCGCTGGTGTGCCCCCAGTCCTGCCCCGACCCTGGAGGGGTGGCTGGAAGGTGGACCTGCCGCTGGGCCTGCTGGAGGGGCAGAAGCTGTTCCGCGGAGCCCGCAGCCTCCCGCAACTCCAAGTCAGCTGAGTTTCTGTGGCCAGGGCGGCCCAGGGTTGCGGGTGGGGTGCAGGCTGGAAGCCTTCCTACCGGCTGACCACCCCAGCCTTGCAGGCGCTTCGCGCTTCTACGCATTGTGAACGTGGAGAAGCGCCGGGACTCGGCGCGAGGGAGTCGCTTCCTGCTGGAGCTGGAGCTGCAGGAGCGTGGGGGAGGCCGCCTGCGACTCTCCGAGTACGTCTTCCTGCGGCTGCCAGGAGCCCACGTGGGGGATGCAGACAGAGGAAGTCCCGAGCCCGCTCCCGCGGCCTCTATGCGCCCCGATGGCCGCCCGAGCTCTGCCGGCCACTGCGCCTGGCCTGGCGCCAGGACGTGATGGTTCACTTCATCGTGCCAGGTGCGCAGGGCGGGCTCGGGGTCTCCGGGAGACCGCGTGGGAGGAATGTGGACCCTAATGACTAGGAAAGGGTGTGGGTGTCCGGGATGAGGTTCTTCGGAGCTGGGAGGCCCCAGCATACAGTCAGGGTCGGCTCAGCGCCCCGCCCCCCATTTCTCCTCCAGTGAAAAACCAGGCGCGGTGGGTGGCGCAGTTCCTGGCGGACATGGCTGCGCTGCATGCGCGCACCGGGGACTCGCGCTTCAGCGTCGTCCTGGTGGATTTCGAGAGCGAGGATATGGACGTGGAGCGGGCCCTGCGCACTGCGCGCCTGCCCCGGTAACGGCCCCTACTTCCACCTGGGCGGACCCAGCGCACCTTTCCTCCCCGGGAGGTGGGTTTCCCTGACCCCACCCCCAGAGATCGTGCCTGTGACTCCTCCTCCCCAGGTACCAGTACCTGAGACGAACCGGAACTTCGAGCGCTCCGCCGGGCTGCAGGCGGGAGTGGACGCGGTGGAGGTCCGAGGGCCAGATGGGGGTCGGGGAGCAAAACGGGGCGTATCCGGGAGGAGCGGAGGGCGGAGCTCAGACCTCCCGCACCCCCCAGGACGCCAGCAGCATCGTGTTCCTCTGCGACCTGCACATCCACTTCCCACCCAACATCCTGGACGGCATCCGCAAGCACTGCGTGGAGGGCAGGCTGGCCTTCGCGCCGGTGGTCATGCGTCTGAGCTGCGGGAGCTCGCCCCGGGACCCCCACGGTGAGGCCCCAAGCGCCCCACCCTGTGATGGCAAGGTTTCCCACCAACCGCCACGGTAACGTCCAGGAACCCGGGGCCTCTCAGTCCCCAGGGGAGACCTGGGAGTCCATCAGTGCTCCCCGTAGAGCCCAGAGCCCCAGTCCCCCGGCACCAGCACACCCAGGGCCATGCGGGGGTCCCCGGGGACCTCCTGCAGTATCCTGCGTTTATGCATCGCGCTCCAGGGTCATTACCGGGCACCGCCGGAAGCCCCCATGGTGATGGGACCCTGCCCCTGAGGCCCTCCCGAGGTCTCCTGGCGGCCCTTTGCGGGGAGGCCTTGCAGGACCTGGTCTGAAGGGCAGCACTCCTCACCCTCCCGCCCAGGTTACTGGGAGGTGAACGGCTTTGGCCTTTTTGGGATCTACAAGTCGGACTTTGACCGGGTCGGAGGCATGAATACAGAAGAGTTCCGAGACCAGTGGGGGGGTGAAGACTGGGAGCTCCTGGACAGGTGACCGCCTCCCACTCCCCTCACCCCTACGTCCTCCTCGAATGAGGAAAATGGCGCCACATGCTGAGAGAACTCTACCCTTCCCCATCTTCCCAGTATCCTGTAGGCTCAGAGAGACCCCCTCCACCCGCATCACTCCTGAGACCCTGTCCCACCCCCAGGGTCCTGCAAGCTCAGGGACATCCCTGAACCAGCTCTGCCCCGGATCCTGTAGGCCTTGGGTGGCCCTGAGTCCCCAACCTCCCACTAGGGCCCTGGAGGCTGGAGGCAGCCCTGACACCCCCAGTCCCTGGACCAGGGTCCTGATCACCTCTCCTCTCTCTGCCCCCGGCCCCGGGGTCCCGACCACCTCTCTGTCTGCCCCGGAGTCCCGACCGTCTCTCTGCCCCCGGCCCCGGGGTCCCGACCTCCTCTCTGTCTGCCCCGGGGTCCCGACCTCCTCTCTCTCTGCCCCCTGTCCCGGGTCCTGATCACCTCTCTGCCCCCGGCCCCTGGGTCCTGACCAACTCTCCTCTCTCTGCCCCCAGGGTCCTGCAGGCAGGGCTGGAGGTGGAGCGACTCCGGCTGCGGAACTTCTACCACCACTACCACTCCAAGAGGGGCATGTGGAGCGTCCGCAGCAGGAAGGGCTCTCACACGGGGGCGTCCTGAGGACGGGCAGCCCCTCCTAGCCCCGGTGGGAGTCCGGAGGCAGCTGCTGGGGGCTGGGCTTTGAGCTTGGTCCCGAGGGACCCGGCAGGGCTGGTCAGAGGGGCACAGCCACCACCTGTGCCTGTTCCTCTCTGGCCCACTGGGCCCTGGCGTCGTGCCCCTCCCCGGAGAGGCAGCCTTCACAGCGGGTCAGGGCCTGGCCTTGGTCCCCACTCTGCGATGATTTCTGTGAAATTTTGCTGTAGCGACGACATTGTTTTCAGGATTTCCAAGAGTTCCGTCTGTTCTGTTTTTTATTCAGAATGAAATGAAATATTTTTTTTAGTTCTGACTTGTCCTCTGTGCCTGTTCTCTTGAGAGGTGGAGTCCTCACCGCTGGGGGACCCTGAGCACGACCTCCTGACTCCCAGCGGCAGCCCTTCCAGACCGCGGCTTCTCCCACCCCCGAGACCACTTTCCCCTTCCTGCCTGTGAGGTTCGGTGCCCGGCCCTGTGGGGAGGGGGCTTCCGACCTCTTCCTCCCGCCCTGTGTCTGTGGGGTCTGTGCCCGCTGATAACAGACATAGACAGCACAGGGCCCCCCTACACTGGGGCAAGGAATGAGCAGTCACCGCCACAGTGCCTCCATTCTGCAAACAGAATCGGGTGTCAGTCCCACCCCAGCCTCCTCTAGGGTGATGGAGCTGTCTGCACCCAGGTGGGGCATGTCTTGTGCTGGGGCTGGAGGTGATTAGGCAAAACTTGGGGTTGCCAGAAACAGAAACCCAACTCGAGCCAGTGAAGCCATAATCAGGGGGCCTGTATGACTTTGGTACCTTCAAGGTCAGGGTCAGCAGGGCACCAGAGAAGGACTGACTCAGAGGCTGGTCGAAGCCCACTCCTGCCTTGTCTCCTCTCTGCCCGTGGGTCCAGCTCGGTCCTGGCCTGGGCTGGGTCACAGGAGGGAGGCTGTACTCTGCCAGGCACCGAGTGGCCATGTAAGTTCCTTATGGCTGCCGTAGCGAATTGGCACAAGTGTAGTGGCTTAAAAAATTATTATCTTACAGTTCTGGAGATAAAAAGTCCTAAAATTAAGGCTGGCACAGTGACTTACGCCCGTAATCCCAGCACTTTGGGAGGCTGAAGCGGCCGGATCCCCAGACACAGTGGTGTGTACCTGTAGTCCCAGGTACTTGGAAGGTTGAGGCAGGAGGATCACCTGAGCCCGGGAGGTCTGGGCTGCAATGAGCTGTGATTGCACCACTGCACTCCAGCGTGGGTAACAGGGCAAGGCCCTGTCTCGGAAAAAAAAAAAAAAAAAAAAAAAAGCCAAAATTAAGGTGTCAGCAGGGCTGGTTCCCTCTGGAGACTTAGGTGTGAGTCTGTGTCCATGCCTTCTCCAGCTTCTCCAGGCCACCTGGATTTCAGCAGCTTGGCCTCTTCCTCTCTCGCACTTCCTCTCTCTCCCTCTCTCTCACCTCCTCCTGTGACTCTGACCCTGCTGCCTTCTCTTGTAAGGCTCCCTGTATTACACTGGGCCCTCCCAGCAAACCCACAGTAACCATCATGTCCCTCACTGGGTCACATCTGCAAAGCCCTTTGCCGTGAAGGTAACAGTCACAGGTTCTGGGACTAGAACAGGCACATCTTGAGCGGGCACTCTTCTTTCTACCTCCTCGTTCACACTGGGTGGAATGGCTCATACGCCCAGCAGCCAGAATTGTCCTCTGAAGATGTGTCCTGAGGTCCCCGCTCACCACGCACACAGGGCAGCTGGGAGGTGGAGCCGAAGGAGGAACCATGTGGACCAGCCATTGACCAGAGCAGCATCCAGTCACCTGGTGTGGGTTTCACAGGTCCCGCTGGTCCATAGGGGAAGAAGTGCCCGCAGGGCAGAGGACATGGCTGGTCACACACGCCCGGAAGCCATGTGATGACCAGCTGTCCTGCCCACTGATCCCTGTGTATCTAGTTCAGATGGAATTGTCCCCACTCACAAATGTTTCACAGCAAGAGAAGAACTAGCCTTGGATTTAATGATCCATGCTACCCCAAGAAAATGAGAAAAGGAAAGAAGAAGCGTAAACCACAGGCGGGGGAAGCCCGCACATCAGAAAGAGAATTAACCTCGGAAAACAAGTCAAAATTCCATGTAATCTGGACGATTCACACCATCGTTTAATCCATTTGGCAATGATTCATTGCACACTCACACACACGTCACGCACTGAGGAAAAGGCAGGGGATGGAACAGACAAAAACCGCTGCCCCCAAGGATCTTACATTCTAACACGGGGGGGTGGGGCACGACGACGCCATCAATAAACACCTGGTATAACCGGCTGGCAGCAAGGGCAGCGGAGGGAAAGGAAGCCCGGGAAGGCAACAGCCCATGTGAGTGTGACTGCGTTTCTGAGCAGGGTGCTCAGAAAGACAGGTCTGAGAAGGTGAAGGTGGCCGAGGACACAGGCGGGGGAGGGCAGGGTTCAGCGGCGGCCTTTGAAGAAATTTCTTAAAAATCAATGATAAGGCCGGGCATAGTGGCTCAAACCTGTAATCTCAGCACTTTGAAAGGCTGAGGCAGGAATGATGGCAGCAGTGGCCCATCTAGAATGGCCGCTGCCAAGATGCTGGCCGCAGCGGGGAGGCATGGCTGGGCCTCTCACTCCATGGGGCAGGCAGGAGCCCCGCCCTCCCAGGCACTGGGTTCATTTGCGTGCACCTCAACATTCCTGTGCTCTTTGGGGCCCAAGAAGCACCCCCCACTCCCTGTGGGCTCAGAAGTACCTGCTCCTAGGCCGGGCGCGGTGGCTCACGCCTGTAATCCCAGCACTTTGGGAGGCCGAGGCGGGCGGATCACAAGGTCAGGAGATTGAGACCACGGTGAAACCCCGTCTCTACTAAAAATATAAAAAAAATTAGCCGGGCGCGGTTGTGGGCGCCTGTAGTCCCAGCTACTCGGGAGGCTGAGGCAGGAGAATGGCGTGAACCCGGGAGGCGGAGCTTGCAGTGAGCCGAGATCGCACCACTGCACTCCAGCCTGGGCTGGGCGACAGAGCGAGACTCCGTCTCAAAAAAAAAAAAAAAAAAAAAAAAAAAAGAAGTACCTGCTCCTGCCCTCACTGCAGAGTCTGGCGCTCCCTGTAGCTGGAGCCAGGGCCCACAATCCGCTCCCAGAGGCTTCCCCCGGCATGGTTGCAAGTCGGGCGAGGGGGGTGCCCCAGGCTGCCCCTGAGTGTTGGAACTGCAGGGGGAACTCACAGTGACATCGCCTCCCTGTGCCCCGGATGCCAGCCCGGGTACTGTGAGGGCCTAAAGCCTTCACCCCAGGCTGCAAGGAGATGGACAGGGCAGCAGGATGGCTGCAGGAGCAGCAGTGGCAGCAGTAGGTCCCCTGTGCCCCACGTCCCCAAGGCTGCCTACTGTGCCACCTCCACCCTCGCACAGCTGGGCAAGACCCACTCCCAGGCCTGGAGCCCCACAGCCGCCTCAACCTCGCTTCCTGCGTGTCCGGGAGCCCATGAGCACCCGGCTGAAGGCACAGCCAGGATTCATGGAACCAGCCCTGGAAGCATTGGGTTTATTTGTGCAGGGTGGGAGCACTGCAGGTGCAACCACAGCCGTCCAGGTTGCAGCTGTGGGCCCAGGCCTCCTGCTGGTCTTGGGGACCAGGGAGGACCCCCTAACACCACAGACTTGGGGGTGTCCCTGCTCCTGGCACCCACTCTGATCTTGGAGTGGGGTTGGGACCAAGCCTGGGTGCTGTTGCAGCCCAGCCAGGTGTGCACCCTCAGAGCAGTGCTGACACACCAGTCCCCTGCCATCTCAGCCCCTCCAGACTTTGGGCGCCAATGAGTGTGGGAGGGAGGCCAAGATGGGGCTGGGAGCAGCTCAGTGCTGGCCTGTGGGCATCTCTTGGCATGAGCAGCCTGGGCACCATGGGCGGCAGTGGGAGGCAGACAGGCTCCTGGGAGGCAAGAGGCAAGTCCCTGGTGAGGCTCCACCTTCAAGCCAGGGTGAGCCTGAAGGCTGGGGGCCAGGCTGACACTCCCGAGGACCAGAGTGGGGACTTGTGGTGCCTTTTCCGGGCCCACCCATGGCTGCCCATGAACCAGTAGGCACGAATTTCCTCCCCTCTGAGGCCCGTAAAAGCCCCGGGTTCAGCCAGAGTGGAGAGGAGGACGGAGGGGACAGGACGACCAGCTGCAGAGAGGAGCTGCCGTCTCTGCTGAGGGCTGAACACTCGTTGGGATGACCTGCCTGCAGAGAGGAGCCACTTACTCCCAGCCTCCTCTCTGCTGAGAGCCTCTGAGCTGTTCTAACACTCAATAAAGCTCCTTTTTGTCTTGCTCACCCTCCACTTGTCTACGTACCTCATTCTTCCTGGACACAGGACAAGAACTTGGGCAAAGATGCTCCCAGCCACAGAGGTTTCTGGTCAGAATAGCAACACCCCAAATATCCCATAACATTTTTGGGGGCTCATCTGGGATCTGTGGAAGGGTGAGCAAAAGTGGATCTTCCCTTTCTGTCCTTTCTTTGTGGTTCCTAAACTCCACAATAGCTAAAATGAAAGAAAAATACCAGGCCTCAGTCAATCAGTTAAATGTGACGACTAGTCTCCAAGTGCCAGACTCAACACATGGGGGCCAGGCTTGCTGGAGAGGACACTGTCAAGCGCCCATCACCCTCAGGTGTTGGGAATGTTGGCTCTGTTCCAACCCAGTTTTCCTTCATGGAAGTCTAGCTGTCACGTGGGACCAGAAGGAGGTCCTAGGGCAACTGGGGGTATCTGGCTGAGGTTACCCCTTGGTGTTATCCAAAGGCCCCTGGACTGACTCCAGTCCCAGGCCTCCCATGAGGGTGTTGGCACGAGGACCTCCACTCTTTCCTATCATTCTTTTCTTTCTTTCTTTTGTGACTGTCATGGTTCCTATCTCTTCTTTATGTATGATGTTAAATGTTAAGGATGTTGTTGCAATCCAGAAATATTACTGGGTAGAATGAACATTTGGCTGAGTCATCAAAACTGTAAAATGGAAGGTTAAGAATAGCACAGATGAAGCTAAGTGTGCCTTGGTATCTGTATATAAATTTGTGGCAAAAATGTTCTTGTTATTTCCTTGGTCGCCAACTTGGTGCCAAACACCTTGAGACCCAGAAGAGAAGCATGCTCTCAGGAAGGAAGCTTTTCTGTAAACGTGAGACCCAGAAGAGAAGCATAGTCTCGGGAGGAAGCTTTCTGTAAACGTGAGACCCAGAAGAGAAGCATAGTCTCGAGAGGAAGCTTTTCTGTAAACGTGAGGGCCGGTGGTCTGAGGACTCGTGTGTGCAGGCTTTCTTTGCTTTGCA